GAAGTTTAAAAATTGGTTTTCGCCGAAAAAAATTCAAAAGAATAAATGTTTTGAATATATGTGGAATATTCGCGTTTATTGTCGTTTTAAAATTCTAAAACAAGTGTTTTTATATTTCTCCGTGTAAAAATCTCAACTAGCCGTTTTTATGGTTTGAAATAAGCTGTGTCCTTTCAAAATACTAGTAGAATCATAAAAAGGCTTTCTGAGCACTTGCAAACCTATCAACTGCTTTTGTATAGCGATGAAAAAATCATTTTCAGTGGATTACAGCCAACATACCAACGGAAAAAAGCAGCGCATTCGATAAAAAAATAAAGAATACGTTATTTCGAAAATCAACTTTTTCGGTATTAGGAGTAAAATAATAAAAAATGAGCGTGTGCTTGAAAATTTTGACTATCAAGATTTCATTCTCAAATAAAATGCATATGGTATTCGAAATTAGCATAACAAGTAGAATCAAATGATCTGCATATCATTAAGGAATATTTGTCATCGAAACTTGATCCGAGGAAGTGTACTCACACAAAATAATCTCCACTAGATCAGAGGGAAAGCAAGGATGGAATGTTGATAATAAAAACTTTTTTAATGATATGCAGATCGTTCGATCCGATTTGTTATGCTGATTTCGGATATCACATGCATTTTACCTGAAAGCGAAATATTGATAGTCAAAATTTTCAAGTGCGTGCTCATTTTTTATTTTTTTATTCCGAACATGGAGAAAGTTGATTTTCGAAGTAATAGATCTATGTTTTATTTTATCGGATGCGCTGCTTTTTCCCGTTGGTATGTTGACTGTAATTTACTGAAAGTTACTTTTCATCACTCATAAAATAGTACTTCATAGGTTTGCAGGTGCTTAGAAAACCTTTTTATTATTCTACTAGTATTTTAAGAGGACGCCGCTCATTTCGGATCACAAAAATAGCTAGTTGTAATTTTTTACGCACCTTTACGTGGAGAATTACAAAAGACTAGTTTTGGAATTTTAAAACAACAATAAGCACAAATATTTCGCATAATATTCAAATCTTCATTCATTTTTGCATGTTTTCGAAAAACTTATTCTTTTGAATCTTTTTCGGCGAAAACCAGTTTTTAAATCTCTATGATTGTAATTTTTCGACTAGATGCGTAATTCGACTTCGAAAATAATTCAAAGTTCAAAAAAATCTACCAGCCGACATATTCATGCAGAAAAGAAACATTTTTTTTTCTTTAAATATAATTTATAACTCATAGTTATATAGGGTTAGTCATGTAAGTTGAGGACAATAGGAAAAGATTTCTTTTTATCTAGATATAATTTATAACTCATAGTTATATAGGGTTAGTCATGTAAGTTGTGGAAAATAGGAAAAGATTTCTTTTTATTTAGATATAATTTATAACTCATAGTTATATAGGGTTACTCATGTAAGTTTAGGAAAAGGGTGGGGTGTGGGTATGGATGTGAGTGTGGGTGTGGAGTGTGGCTCAGAAGAAGACCCACACAGACAACCACACCCACGCGTCCACACACACTCACATCCACACCCACACGCTGACACACACTCACACACACACTCACACCCGCGTAACTACGATATTTTTTTCGCAACTGCGTGTAACTACGATTATTTCCGCAGCTGTGTGTAACTACATTTTTTTTCCGCAACTGCCCGTAACTGTATCACAGTTGTCAAAAAACAGACAACGTGGGTTTCTTTGTATATTACACAAGAGTTCGTAATTTTGATAGAACATGTATGTCGTATCGAAGTTATAACTTTGGTAAGTATGCTAACTTCAATACAACATATACGTACAAAGCGATACTTAAATCACAAAATCTTATTATATGAACAGTATGTTTTGTTTTTTCGTAGAATATTTAGTGACGACAAATATTAGAGAAACAAAGGAGTAACACCTGTCAGTTTAATACCGCGAGTGTCCGTCGTTTTTCATTATGGCAACATATCTTCACGTACAGCTTAAATAAATAGAACAAATCGAAGAAACAGCACACAGAATGTCCTATAATTTTCACAATATACAAGTAGTCCAATCAGGACGACGAAGACAGATTTTTTCAATCATTTTTATTATCTTCCTCTTGAATGTTCTCTACTTTTCGTATCAACAAGTTTATCGTAAACAATCATTACTCTTCAATAAAAAACATGTACAAATAGAATCAGTGAATTGTTCTGCATTTGGTTTCGGAAATATATCGAATAGCAGTATTCTTATTTACGACTTCTTCTTATTTAATAACGAATTTGATATGTTAGAAATTCGTTTGTATGAATTATATGATTATGTTACTCTATTTCTTATTGTTGAAAGTAATCTAACATTAAGTGGAAAACCAAAACCATTGTATTTGAAAGAAAATTGGTCACGTTTTGCTCGATATCACAATAAAATACGTCGTGTTGAAATGGATCTTATGAATTCAATCAATAAGACAATAGATGCTTGGTATAATGAACGAACAATGAGAAATGAAGGAATTCGATTAGCTTTACCAAATTCAAAAAAGTATAACTTTTATGAATTCTATTATTTATATTTATATGGAATTTCATTTGATTTTTTCTAGAGATTTTTTATTACTTACATCAGATTTAGATGAAATACCTAAATTTCGTTTTATTCAAGCTCTTGCTTCATGTCAACTTCCTACACCATTTCAGTCGCTCTTACTTCAATGCGATTTTTATTATTATTCATTTGAATTTCGTCATGCTCCTAATCCTTATTTTCCAGGTGTAACTGTTTCACGACTTAGTCCAAATGATAAAATTCCATTAAATTTACGTGAAAGTCGTTTTCAAAATCGTCCAATGCTTAGTACATGTTTTCATTGTTCTTATTGTTTTGATCGTTTGGAAACAGTTCGACTAAAAATTGCTTCATTTTCACATACTGACCTAGATATTCCTAAATATCATGATCAAAAACATATTATTGATTGTGTTCGGAACGGTAAAGATCTTTATGATAGACATAATGAACAATATCGACGTGTTAATATTAATGAAACTGAATTACCTCGATTAGTACAAGTTGAACAAGAACGTTTCGTATACATGTTGGATAGATCATCGCCCAATGCTGGCTTTCGAGATGTTTAAATAATAAAGAAATGTTGACTAAATTTACAAAAACAACTCAAAAGATATATCTACCTTTGTGTATATCACTACTTGTTGAAAAAAATTTAGATAAAATAGGGTGTGGGTGTGGGAGGCTGTGGGTGTAGGTGTGGGGTGGGTGTGGGGGTGGGTGTGGAGGTGGATGTGGAGATGGAGGTGTGTGGGTGTGGGTGTGATTGCTTATTATTTACTCACACCCACACCCACCCCCACCCCACACCCACACCCACCACCCGCCACCCCACACCCCACCCACACTCACACTCACACCCACCCACCCCACACCCACACCCTGTTGGAGTATTTAATTAGTCACTATCTGAAGTAGAAGTATTCCAACATTCTACTAATCAGTTCGAGGTTTTTCAATACTGAAAATGAAGAGATAAAAGAGAAAAGCTATGTTTAATCGAACGGCATGAGTAGACATTATACGCTTTCTCATAAAGCAGATGAAAAAAGCAAGGCAATGACATAAAAGAATGACAAAGCGTCTTTGAGTGTTAACAACGTTCTTTTGTAACAAAGTTCAGTTGAAACGATGAAAAACGTCGCCAAAAACGAGCGAAAGCATTTCTAAATCTTAGTCTGTAGGTGCTCGATGGAAGAACAAAAATTAAAAAAAAAAATACCGATGATGTAAATGAAAGGAAATAACCGAGCAGATGAAGCCAAAAGCGACGCGATGGTTTTCTACAATCCATGGATAAAATGATGCTAACGTGAAGTAATGATAAAATGACCAATAGAAAAGGACTGATCAGTAGGTGCTTGTATTGTTTCAATTTGAAGCTCAGATATTTTAAATAATGGTTATCCGTATGTGCGCGTCGACGAGCTGCCGTGATGATGATAAACATTGATGACAGCTGATTGATCAATGGCGGAACGATAAAGTGAAAAGAAATCATCGTCATGTTGTAGGTCTCGAGCCATGACGAATAGTGCATGACACACCATGTGCGATCTTCTTTTTTGTCGTCAAACACAACCAGATGAATCAATTGAGGAATCATGAATGTAGCAATGATAACGGACAAGAAACAGATGACATATTCGGCCACTTGTTTGCTCATCTGCTTGTTAAATTTGATTCCCTTGTAGATAGTATACGCCCGTTCCATGGCCACAAAAGCATTAAGCCAATTATCCGCATACAAGAAGATTTTCATGGGAATCTCGATTCCAAATCCGCTGATAATCATCAAATATCGACGATTGGATGAACCTTGGTGAGAGAGAAAAAGGATCCAGAATTTGACTGTGAACAAGATTACGATGATGAGTGACGTGACTGATGAAGCGAGAAGATACTGTTCACTACCCACCTCTTGTGTATTTCTATCGCTGAATATGAAGATGCCCATAATGGCGTTGAGTAAACCGATGACGAACATTGTCATCGTAATCACGCTACTCAGTTTTATCGACAAAGGTTGCCATAATATACTGGTATTGCGTTGAATTTCATAGCCTAGGATTTCGTCCAACGTCAAACCGAAGCCCTTAGCATAAAATTGACATCGACTGCCAAAGAAACAATCTTGACAAACACAGCCTCTCATCGATGGACACGATGGATGATCTTGTAGACATTCAGCTCCATTTTCACACCAATCTTTCTTTAAACATTGCAAATTCTGATGATGATCAAAGTCCATACAATTAGCATGACGTTCATTGGTGCACAAGCACAAATAGGCTTCCTCTATGAAACACTGTAAATTGAGGTTCTTTTGACATAGACTATGATAAAATTTTACTCGCTGAAGACGAGTCATCTTCATTAAACTTGAATTGAACAATGATTCTATGGGAAAACATTCTCGATTTGGATTGATAGATGTCGAAATTTTCTTTCGAGGAGATTGTTGAATCACGGCCAGGTAGAGTTTCTCTTTGGCTTTTAGAACAATCAGATTATATGGAATCGAAATATAGAAAGTGACGATGCGCTGAAACAGAGTTAACTTTTGAAGTATCATAGTACTCGTCGGTTTCGATTCATTCGAAGTGCTGATAAAATGAATCAGTGTTAATTGCCCGAAAGGAAAAAGATCGAAATGCAAAATCTCGAAAAAAAAAGATCGAAAGGCAAAATCTCGAATATGCAAAATCTCGAAGGATAAAAATCTCGAAAATCGCAAACCCAGAAAAAAAAAATCTCGAATGTGCAAAACCTCGAAAAGCGAGAATCTCGAGATACAAAATCTCGAAAATCTCGAAAATCTCGAAAGTGTAAAATGTAAATGTAGTTCGAGTACTTGATAGATACATGGTTTATTTATCATAAGTGTGTTGAATAATGAAAAAAAGCGTACAAATGCAAGAGAATATCAACAAAAAATTGATTATGATGCGGTGTTCTACCGCTTGAGCAGGAGAAAAAAAAGTAACAGAAAAGAAAAGCTAAAAGAAATAGGTTCACAAGAGATAAAAATATTGATTAGACATTTATTTTTTAGATTTTATGTCTTTTGCTACAAGTAATGATAAACTTTGAAGATATTCTTTTAAATCAATTTCTGCATTTTCAAATCTTGATGATAAAGTTTGAAGCCGTTGTTCCATAACAGTTGTTTTTTTCTTTTTTTTCTTTTGTGCACCAGTTTGAATATGAATTAGTTGTTGTTGAAATACCACCTCCTCCACTTTTATAACAGAAATAAAGTGCCAAATATTCGGATGGTGTTTATTTATTCTGTTGTTAAAACGGTTATGCCAGCCTGCAAAAGAAAATTCTTAGAAAACAAATGAAATTAAAACAACATTACCTTCAACGCTATTATTCGTTCTTGTATCCAAATGAGATACACTCCACATATTAATGGACACCTGTGTTATCCAATAATTTTTAAAGTATTCGATCAAAGGATTAACAACAATTGGTGATTGTTCCATTAACTCCTCGAATGCAAATTCTATTTCTTCCATAGGTAAAAATGGTAAAGCCATAAGCTGACGACAGGTTGAACGTACATCATCGTCTTCTCTATATGAAATATCAAGACCCAAACTTTGTATCTTGCGGTAAATACATTGTGTAAAGTGAAAATAACATCCACTATGACGAGCACTTGGAAACTGAAAATAAAATAGCTTATTAGTAAGTTAAGTCAGATATTTTCAAATTACTTTATTAGATACTGCTTTGATAAGTGATTTTTCAAAATCTGATGTAATACGTTCAGGTTCAAATAACAAGTTTAGACGATTTGCATGAAATGTTAATTCATCAAACATTCGTTCGTATATACTACGTGTTTTACCAGTTAGTAGACCAATTACACATGGAAATGCTAAAAAAAAATAAACATGGATATATTCAAGTAATATGAACTACTTGCTTTTTCCATGCTTAATAGCATGAAGTGTATAAACTTGTGAAAAATATGGAGGAGAACTATCGAACGTCCCATCCATTAACACATGTTTTGCTTTGAACAAAAGTTGTAATTGTTGGTCTGTAGCAAATAAAACAATACGTTTTTTGTTCATATTAATGTCAGACAACAAATATCGACAACCACTAATAGTGTCAGAATAAGGAGCAGGTATCGCAAAATAGCATGATTCAGGTAAAACTGGAGTGAGTTGCCGCCGAATACGATTCAAAGCGGATTCTATGTAAAAATAAATAATAGAGGTTACATTATTGCTACTTTTGTAAACTTACTTGCTTCTTCTGCTGTTGGTGCAACAGCAAGCGCTGTTTGACTAAGCTGTGATCGTGCTAATTCATCATCATAAATTTTTCCGATAGAAATATTTTCTTGTGTAACACGATCTTTTACACGTTTTTTTAATTTACGTACTTGAACATGTTCTGGTGATGATAAATGTGTGTGCTGTTGACCACCTCTTTTAACAAACTGATCATTTGCATCGGTGTGTACCGTGGCTGTACAATACTTGATTTCGCATTTCCAATATTTTACTTTAATCGTTAATTTATTCAATTGGTACACATACGAATCTAAGACTAACAAAGGTTTGCCTTTGTTACTAGAAATAAATTCAATCGAGGTCATTATATGAAAATACAACCACTTGTTATGTAACGACGATAAATGAATTTATGCGCATATATCATTTGTTTATATATACACAGAAGAATGAATAGACAGACGAAAAATATAAAGAAGGCAAAAGAATGACTCATCAGTCATTCCGTGTTATTTGTTATTTTTTGAACTTTAGAGATTTTCTGTATTCGATATTTTACCTTTCGAGATTTCATAGTTCGAGATTTTGCACTTCGAGATTTTGCTCATTCGAGGTTATTTTTTCGGTCTTTTTCTTGTCGAGATTTTGCGTTTCGAGATTTTTTTCTTTCGAGATTTTTTTCTTTCGAGATTTTTTTTTTCGAGATTTTTCTATTCGAGATTTTTCCCCTCGATCTTTTGTCTTTCGATCAATTAACACTCCCCCGATAAAATAAGCGACAACATACGAGGGAATATCGATTTCATCCAATGACACATAAAGTTTGCCTAGAATATTTTCACATCTAGATCCGAAGAATTGTTCGGAGCAAATACAATGATAATCACTTCCTGTCACACTGACATCTGCCGGGACACATTGGCCGCCGTTCAGACAAGCATTCGACGGACATGATGATGTTAACAAACATCGCGGACCGAACTTATCCAATGGGCACACACAGATCGCTCGATTGTTCGCTATTCCCACACAGAACGAATCTTTCGAACAATTTTCACAGTTGATTGGAATTTGACAATCGATACCCGACCAGCCCGAAAAACATCGACAGAACGATTTCTCCTTATTCGAATATTTTACGCATTCGCCATGTTGACAATGCCTTACACAGCCAGATGAGATTGGAGATGGAGTACTCGAGATATCCACAGACACAGCCAGTCGATTCACGGGCAAAAAGAGAAAATCAATGCCGAAGTGCCAACTCTCAATGTAGATCATTTTATTCTTGTCGAATACATGGAGATGCACACTGTAATTCTTTAAAGTGCTCTTGGGTCGTGTCGAATATAACAAATATCGGTTGATTTTAAGACTGCAGCTATGTTTCATGATGTACACAGATTGATCATATGACTCGATCTGTTGTTTTTCATCGTTCTCATCGATCAACATCAGAACAAGAGCATAAGAGGCACGTCTATCGATTGCAGTCAATCTCAAGGTCACACTGACTCGTTGACTTTGATATTGACACAGATCACCATAATAACTAGGTGGACACAAGCACCGATCCTCGACGATGCCATTGTTGAATGCAACGTGCACCAGTAGTCCGCGATTACAAAGCCATGGCCATGGATAATCGTCGCCTCTTGATTGAATATCGTCCACAATAACATGCGACTCTTTTGACCAATGATTGAATTTGTCTTGGACACTGCTGTCCCATGAAGGATAGTTAGACGACGTGTGCACTGAAAAATAGCGACTTCGACTATTTTCATCCAGTCGACAGAGAAGATCTTCGACAACGCTTCGATTATCAATCCACTTCTCGTTGCAGATTGATCGATGTTCATTGCAGAAGTTTTCATCATCGTCGCCGAAAGGAAGACAATCTGGTTCACCATCACACAGTTTTGACATTGACAAACATTTATCACTGTTGAAACAACGAAAACGCGGTGTATCTACGCCCGATGGAAAACCCTCCAGACAAAACATCAGTTCATCTGTTGCTCCAAGACAATCATCGACTGTATCGTTCACGCGTTCAGCAGGCAAGCAGAGCAATGTATAATTGACGGGAGAAATGCATGCATGAGTCTCTGTTGGACACCATCTCTGACCACAATTGGCTTCATCTCGGCCATCAGGACATGTCCAGAAGCTGTCACATCGCGAATACATATTATCACATGGCCAGTCTCTGCAGTCGGATTCATCCGTATTATCTCCATTAGCATCACTCAGTGCCAGTACTCCGTCACAAACCCGTTCGAATGGAATTTTGTTTGTATCATAATTCCAAGGTGGTGGACAATAGGTTATGTCGAGCAAAGGTGATAGACAGCTCTTTCCATCGAGACATCGAACTCGGTATTTGACATTTATCAAACAACTCAATGTTGGGTTCTCATCATCATCCAAATAGCAATCAATATTCTCATCGAGGATGCGATGCTTGGAGATTGATTTCGACGAGCTTTGACAAAGATACAGAGACGAATTATTCTTATCATCACTTATCTGATACGTAATGGAACAGCGTCGAAAAAATGCTTCGATCCAAAGGATCATATCGATCCAAGGACGACCAGTGTAGGTTATTTTTGGTCCGACTTCGTTACTATGTAAACAGCTCCGATTTTCATCCGAAAAGTTGGCTACGAGATAATCACACAATTGTTCATCATAGCAAACATAATCGGGTACTAGATTTGTGATGGTGTTCTTGTTCAACTGAGAACTCACATAAAATAAACGAATGTGGCCATAATGAATCGGAATAACTGGAAATTGAAACACAGGTGCACAGTCGTTGAGAAAATCCAAAATTGAGTTGTTCATCAACAAAGTTTTGCACGAAGTATCATTGATTCGATGAACGAGCTCAGTGGAACAAATCATAGCAATCCAGCATTTCTCCGATAAACTGCCTTTGCCAGACATTGATTCTATTAGAGAACTGTGACGCCCATTGTTACAGTGGTCGAACTTATCCACACATTGCCCATCTCCACACACGAACTGGTGCCAGTTCTGCCTACACGTATGCTCTTCACAACGAAATGTTGGATCTTTAAAACAGTAACTAATGTAGGCGCCAAACAATTCGTCGGATCGATCGAGACAATCCGCATCACCTAAACCATTTTCCCAGAATTCTTCTGAAATACATAATCCATTATGACATCGAAATTGATCTTCTTCACATTCGTTCGATTCCATCTGGTAGCATTGAGCTTCATCTTCAGCTCCATCGAGACAGTCAACATATCCATTGCACACTTCACGCCAATCCAAACATAATGATGCTCCGCCACGATCACATCGAAGATGAATGTAACATGGCAACTGTGTCACTATATCAGATGTTTCAGAATATGCTAATCTTCTGCGAAATTGACCTTGGACTATCTGGGTAATGGACATGTTCTCGCTAGATTGGAATGAGTATTGGCATCGAGCGCCAAACCATGGTCGAGTACAATTATAAAAGTGCTTAATCAATGAATCATTCAACTCGTTCAAATAGAATTGATATTGCTCAGCCAGATCGATGGATATTGACCACGAGAGGAGTTGCTGGGCAGTGATATTAGCAAGATGCAGCTCTTCGAAGCTCAATATTTCACCATTGGTCTCAACAAAATTGCCGAATGACATACTGCTTCCATCGATCGGACGAAAGCAATATGGAATGAGCTCGTCAATTACATTAGCTAATTCTTGATAAATCACTGTTTCATTTTTTACGTAATAGTACAGGCAATCGAACTGTAAGACATTGTCATTCATCATTGGATCACTATCGTGAAGATTCAATTGACAAATGATCTTCGGCAATCGACACAAAATTATCAGAAGAAGTTGAAAAACTATTCTTCGTTTCTTCAATGAGATTACTTCCATCATAGATGTTTTATAATTCCATTCGGAGCGAGTCCACATGCTGAAACTAATTTAGAGCTAAAAGCACGTTCGTTAACGGAAATCACCTTGTGTACTAAGACAACTATGAACGACTAGCATTGTTGATCGTACATTAAATCAAAAAAGAAACATCCCAAAAAGGATGGAAACATCGTCAAATATCAATTCTCTTAGAAGCATGATCAACTAATAACAAGCGTGCTGGCATGTAGGATTGTAAAACAAGAGTAGTCGTTTAGATAAATTATTCTTAAAGTCGTAGCACGATATTGCTACTATTGAGAATAGGACAGATGAATAGCGCCTGATCTGTTCCTGCCAGAAAACTGCGAAAAATGAAAGCACCTGAGAAAAACCAGTACGATGGCTGGATACGGTAGCCGATTTTTTTTCGTTTTCAACCAAATGCTCGTTCCACTATATGCAGCTCATCGTGGACGTTTTGTAATCTATTCAAACTAAGTGACTTGGCCATTTCTAAACATTTGCCGATGCCTTTATAAATACAAATCAATTGATAGGAATAGTTCTCGCTCGCTTTGACTTTAGAAATAGTCTGATAGAGTTCATCAGTGAAGAAGAAGAAGAACAAGAAGAAGAATATCAAGCCTTTTAGTTACCTTGCGGTATAGGGTACTGCCTGAAAACAGGTTTTTAAGCATGATATCTTTCCTAAAACTAATTATTAGTTGTAGCTTTTGACAGAAGACCAGCCTGACTTACGCGAGAACATCTCGAGGTGTCGGACGCTGAGCGGACTCATATTTTGTTCAAATATAAGGCTCGGTGAGACTAGTGAAAGCCCAAAAGGATTCGTCCCCGTGCCTTGTCTTTCTGAAACTATGACCATTTTACTGAATTTTCGACCTGAGAGGCAAGCTATTCTCACTGAACCTTATATTTGGACAAAATATGAGCCCAACAAGCGTCGGATACTTCGGGATGTTCCTTTGAAAATTTCTTTGCTCAATCGCATGAGCTCTCTCTACACATTGACTAACTACATACTATCACGAGAATCCGTTCATCGAATCCGAGCATCGGATGCTTGTTTCTAAGATCTGATAATTTCCCGGAGTTCTGTTGACAGAATCAGCCGTACGCCTAGATGTTTTACTTGACTTACTATTTTCAGTTAATAAACGCTCAAAAAAACATGAGAATTCAATGAACTGTATAATTCTGCTTGGCGTTTGAGTGAAAAAAGAGTAACCATAGATTAATATATAGACGTGTCCTCTGAGAGTGACAAACAAGTCAACTGAGAAGAGAATGATTCTATCATAGAAAGTCAGATACTTCAAGCAGAAAGAAGGAAAAAGGAGATAGTATTACAAGACAATAATTATATTCTACAAATATCATGACCAAAGTCTATGGTTTTTTTTATTTCAAATTGAATTTTGAATAAAAAATAACACCCCGTTTTTACCAAGGCAGAGGGACTAAGGGTACTAAGGGGACTAAGGGTACTAAGGGTACTAAGGGGACTAAGGGTACTAAGGGGACTAAGGGGGCTAACGGGACTAAGGGTGTGGGTGTAGATCTGTATTGCATAGACACCCACATCCACACTTTCTCTCCCTCCCCCTCACCCACACTTTCTCTCCCCCCCT